CAACAAACCCCAAGGTCATATGTAATTACAAGTTTGGTGGTGGTATTAGCAGTAGCAACAGCTTTAAGTCATATTGACAATATATGCTTTAATAATAAGCACTTACTAAAGAACTTAATCTAAAAGAACCTCTCTGGCAGGTGACAGCTGTGAATTCAGGTAACTCTTAGACCATTCAGCTGGCTCTTAGAGCCAATTAAAGAACCTATTTATTGATGCAATCAGGAATTCCATATTTATTGTGCTGCATGCATTTTCATAATCCTTAGAAAGTATTTATGAAGCAAAATATTTGCTGTAAAATAATTCTCCTTTACTATGGTTCTTTTCTATGTGGAAAGGTCAATTTTAAAATCAGGTTACATTAAAAATGTCAGGTGGGGCATGCTGCTTTCTGTGGCTCATCAAAAAGTCAACATAAAATTCTAAACTATTTTTATTTAAGCACGTGGTACAAGCTAGTCATAATTTCAATGCCTATACATTTAGTATTGATTATTTTTAATTGAAAAATTAAGAATGGAGACAGGTTTATATCATTGTCATGCTATACATGTTCCCAGCAATTTTCTAAATATTTCGCTGCAAATAATATTGCCCCCTGAATATTAATAAGACAAGTGTGTTTTATTCATTTGTTATAAAGTTGGTCTCATTAATCCACTAGTGCTGTGTTGCCTAAAGTAACGAAAATAACTTTCTTTGCATTTGGACCTTTTTTCCTTCCTAGTCTATGTTCCAGGGAGGGAGAGAGAGGGAGGAGAGTTGGGGGGAGTAATTCTCTAGGGAAAAGGAGACAACCATTTATTTGAGATGTACCAGGTGTTGAACACTGTACTGGATGCCCTGTGTACATTATCTCACTTAAAAATCACAAGTCTTTGAAAGACTTGATTGCAATCCTTATGTCATAAATGGGAAAGCTGAGGGTCAGAGAATTTCAATAATTTTATCACACCTGTGCTAATGATAAGTAGCATATCTGGGATCTGACACAAGATTATTTGATTCTGCTGTACCGTGGTCATTTCAATGAGAATATTATTTATTTCCACTTCTTTCTGAGGCTTTGGTTTTCTTTGTGTTTTATTAAGATGACTATGTTCATTACAAACTACATTAAGTTATAGTTGGGAAGAATCAAGGAATAAATAAATCGAGAAGTTAATTACTTAAAAGTAAACAATTTCTAAGAGAAGGGACTAGCCTGCCAGCGCTAAGATGCTGAAATTCCTGCTGGTGTCTGTTGCCAGTTGTCTTGGAGAACCTGTCAAACGATTGTCCTTGTTGTAAAAAAAAAAAAATACGAAATAGTCTTCAGATACTCCCATAATGAGAAGAAAAAAAATAAGAAATAAGCCTGGGGCATTTCTTTCCCTCCTTTTGCACAATATAGTCTACTTGTAATACTGTTGTTAGTTTTCCCTTCATTCCAACCATCCATCATCAGTCAGCATTTTCTCTGGTGCCGTCACCTGGCCTCTGACTGCCACAGTTGGACTGTAAGGGTAATGAACGAAGGGGAGGGACATCTGGTCCATCAGTGCTCTTCACAGGGTTGAACGTGTTCCTTCAGAATGTTCCTGACAGCAGCTCCCAGGTTGCTTGATCACAGGAAGCCACACGAGGAAAAGCGAGTTTTGTTTCTCACCCAGAACACTGAAATGCTAGAGTAGATTTCAGAGGGTCAAGATTTACAGAACTTGTGGTTTTTGATCATGGATTTTACTTGGGGTTCTGAGAGCTTTATTTTCAAGAATATTTTCACTGGCGTAGTGCTGTTAAGTAGTAATTCATTAAGCTACATTTGGACTTCAGTCAGAAAAGGGGAAATCACGTCACATGCAGTATAGATGACACTTGGTAATGGAACTGGAAGAGAGTGTGAGGTTCCTGTAGGTGGAATTTGGGTTGGAGTTTGGTGTAGCAAGGGGAGTACCTTTTTTCCTATTTTTGCCCAAACTTTACTTTTTATTTAGCTTAGCTGCACTGTGTGAATCCGTAATCATCTTAATCATCTTTCTGTAGCTAGCAGGGGTTTCAAACAAATGACACTATTATTTAGTTTCTGCTTCCTACACTGTCATCATGCCTTTATATTCACAGCCAAATCTTCCTTTCACTGATATTTCTAGTGATTTCTGTGCTTTATTGTTGGCATTGTAGCTTATCTTTTGTTATCTTTGTTCTCTATGGTGTTGTCATTAATAAATGTTTATTAAGCATACCTACTACCTGCCAGGCTTTGGGAATACAGAGAATTGCTTGCATTTGTTAGATTTTTAACAATTTACAAAAGGCTTCCACATATACTTTGTCATCTAATTATAATATTCTACCAAGTTAGGTCTTTGTTCCCTCCTTCACTCACCAAATGTGTGCTTGTATAATCACTTTCCAGGAAGTTGCACTCCAGGTGGGAAAAAGTTTCATGAGCATTAGAAAACACTTAACAATAATGGAAGCGACTTATGTTAAAGTTTCCATGGGTTAGTTAGGGTTATTTTTTATATGGTCACTGTTATGAGAATTGTGAACTTTGGAGAGGGGCATTTGATGGTTTGAGGCTAGATGTGGACCTAAAGGAATGGCAGGAGGAGAGAGGGACCTTCAGATGGTAGGCAGCCCAGTGTGGCCAAGGAGTAGAGGTGCCGTTTAGTGTGAGTGAAGGTGCAGGGTTTCCTAGAGCCAGGTTAATCAGGTCTGAATTTAATTATGGAGTAACTAATGTGGAGTAACTTCAGAATATTTAGAAACCATTGGAAATCATCTAGTCCAACTCACACATGTCCTTAAAAGATACGTTCATATTGAGTCATTCATACATTTTTTTGTGTGTAGTTTTATTTGTTCCTGGAGTGCAGAATATATCCTGGTTTCTTCTATACACATCTTGGTGATTCAGTTCTTACTAGATTTTATATTATTTGAAGGAAAAGTGTTAATAAAGAAGGTATATTTATTCTTTTTTTGTAACCACACTACTGATCTTTCAAAGAGGATTTTTATTAAAGGAATAGTATTTGTGTTCATCTTGATGCATTTCTTTTGCTTTCTTTTTAACTCAAAACTGATGTAAATATAGTATTACAAGATGGATTTTTTTTCAAATGAGAAAAAGTAACTTACAGTTTTGAATTAAGAGCTGTGCACACCATTGTATTTTTGTTGTTGTGTTATTGTTGTTGTTAAGAAAAACTATACTCTGATTAGTTGGTAGAAACAACTGATCCAAATGGTATTTGTCTAGACTCTGATGCCTTGGGGAAGTCTTGATGATTCGGGGTATGGATTTCTGAAGCTTCACATGTTTTTATCAGTCAATTTCTAAGATGCCTCAGAGACTGTTAAGGTAGATAAATCAAGTCAGATTTAGTTGTGTTTCACAACATGCAAAGAACTATAATCAGAGATAAGATTTTTAATTTAGAAGAAAGAAACCAAATGTAAATATAGATTGCTAGGGCTTTGAGGAAGCCCACTAAATAGCAGCCATCTTTCCTGCCAGAGTTCTGAAACTGTTGAGAAATAATCATATAAATAAGGTATATGGAAAGTGAAGTACCACTCTTGTACTGATCTAAGCTAGATTGGAGGATATGACCTAGTTTGAGAGTCAAATGGGGCTTGCCAAGTGAACATCAAAAGTAGACAAATTTATTCTCTGACAAAGCAGGACCTTTAAAGCTAAACTCCTATCACACACTGCTTGCTACCTACAGGCCTTCTGGTTCCTACAGTGGAATAGGGGGTTGCTAAGCCATGTGTGCCTAGCTTTGTTTTCTCAGTTTTTACCAATCAAAGGAGTTACTTGACTTTCCCTAGAGTGAATAAAAGGCAGAGAGAGGCTAGGGATTGCATTAATTGAACTTCATTCTAATGGAAAGAAACATGAGGAGTAGGGGGGAAAGCATTTCTCCCAACATCCAAAGTTTGCACACTGTAAACTCTCTGGAGTGATGTGCCTTAAATCAGTGGTGCCTTAACGGGTTTCTGTTGGAAAACAGTCATAAGGAATTATTATTGCCTCAATCTATGTGAGCTTGGTAGTCACATCTTGTGCCATGACCCTTCATTGTTTCAATTAATGAACCAATGAAGGACCATTTGAGGAAGCAATGTGAGTCCTGGTTGGTATAGGAAAACCTTTCGATAGCATCAAGAAAGCATCATCATAAAACTTCAGAATGGATATCAGCAGCTTGGAATAAAACACTGGATGCATGGAGCACTCCTGTCAGAAATCCATGCTCATGTAGACACGGGATGACACTGTTTAGAAGACAAGAACATTGACAACTGAGTCATAGTTGTCTCTTCAGAAGAGTCAGACTTTGAATTTTATATAGTTTTAATAATAGCTTAATGAATTTGTTTTTCTTATATTTCCTTATCGAATGTGCTTGAGAGATTTATAGTAAACATCTATTTATTTAAAAAGCCAGAGGAGCTTTTCAATAAGAGAAAAATAAACATTCTAAAACAGCATATAATTTAATTGGCAGAAAGTTTTTTTCTCAGTTGCACATCAAATAATAGTGTATCTTACAATCAGTGGGGTCTTAGATCTGATGAAATATAGTCAGACTTAATGAGTCTCTGTTCCAACCATTACAACACGAGAGGCACCCTTGTAGGGCACATCCTTCCCCTGAAGGTTTCATGTGCCATACTGTCCAAGATGCTGTCCAAGATAGACACTGGTCACTAGAGATCAAATTTTATCCTTAGCTGAGTTATAGCCTTGCACGGTTGCTTTAAATACGCCATTTATTCTTACGGTGCTTCCATTTCACTCCAGAGTGAAAGTTCTAATCCATTGTTTATGAGAAGACTGGACTACGCCATTGAAAATAATTTTGTAGATATTGAAGGTAATTGTTTTCAAACATGGTTCTACTTATGACAGTGTAGCACTCATCTAGATGGGCTTGGCTTATTTATTTATTTAAGTTTCAATGAGCTAAACTTCTTTTTTTTTTTTTTCTTTTTTCGGAAAGGGGGTCCTGATGACAACTTAATTGAAGGTGGAGGAACAAAATTTGTCTGCAAGCCTGGAGCCAGAAACATTACCGTCATATTCCATCCATTACTAAGGTAAGTACTAGGATGTACTTAGGATCAATATTTTCATTATTTATGCTGATGTACTGAATGCCAGTAGTTCAGTCAGCATTGAAACAAGTCATAAAAGAAATATGTTCCATTTTCTAGGGCCTTGCTGTCAAAGTTAGTCAATAGGATAGATAATGTCAATCACACTAAGGTGCTACTTGTTTTCAGGAGTAATAGTTCCTAATACTTTTATTAGGTTTTCTTTCTTTCACATTCCCTCATCCCTGGCCCTCTCCCTCCCTTTCTCTTATTTTTCCCATAGAATATTATGGGAGTACCTTTTGGTCCCGTGTAATGCCTTTGCCTCGCCCAAGCCAGGGCTACAAGCTTGCTCTTTCCCCGTACGGTGCACTCCGCACCCATTAGTAGTGAGTTTACCCCACCGCCCCCCACCTGACTGGCACTCATGTGAGCACCTTAGTGTTCATCAGTTAGTGCCAATTTGATGGCGAGTACATGTGGTGCTTGTTTTTCCATCCTTGTGATACCTCACTTTGAAGAATGGGCTCAAGCTCTATCCAGGATAATACAAGAGGTGCTAGTTCACCGCTGTTTTTTGTAGTTGAGTAGTATTCCATGGTATACATATGCCACATTTTATCAATCCACTCATGTATTGATGGGCACTTGGGTTGTTTCCCTATCTTTTTGCAATTGTGAATTGTGCTGCCATAAACATTCGAGTGCCGATGTCTTTATTATAGAATGTCTTTTTTTCCTTTGGGTAGATGCCTAGTAGTAGGATTGCTGGATCAAATGGTGGTTCTATTTTTAGCTCTTTGAGATACCTCCCAATTACTTTCCACAGAGGTTGTACTAATTTGCAGTCCCACCGGCAGCATTTGTTGTGTTGAGACTTTTGATAAAGGCCATTCTTACAGGAGTTACGTGCTGTCTCATTGTGGTTTTGATTTGCATTTCTCTAATGATTAGAGATGTTGAGCGTTTTTTAATATTTGCTGGCCGTTCGGTTGTCTTTTGAAAAGTTTCTGCTCATGTCCTTTGCCTACTTTTTGATGGGGTTGATTTTTTTCTTGTTAATTTTCTTAAGTTCTATATAGATTCTTATTATCAGCCCTTTATTGGATGTGTGGGAGAAAATATTTGCACCCTCCCTTCCTCTTTATCTCTCAGGGGTTGCCAGTTACGGGCCACTGCAGAGATCTAGCCTGCACCTGTTTTTGTAAATACATTTTTATTGACACACAGTCATGCTCATCTGTGTATGTGTTGTCCATAACTGTGTTTGTGTTACAATTAAATTATTGAATCATTGCATCAAAACCCAGATGGCTCACAAAGCCTAAAATATTTACTCTCTGGCCCTTTATAGGAAAAAATTGCCAACCGATAATCTCTCTCTCTCCTTTACACGAATGACTCAGATATCCTTTGAGAATCGGCAGATCTCTGAAGAAATATGATGTACAAAAACTTAAGGACATTATATCAAATATGTGATTTTACATATTGAAAGATAATTTGGTGGTGAATAGAGTGAACTCTATTATAATACTCAGTTTATTGTGATACTGATCGTATGAAAATAAGAATCCATGATGCTTCCATTTAAAAAATACATGAACCTTAAATTCCTTTAAATAGGTGTTTTGTTGTGGGGGGGAAAAGGGCAGTGGTTGTTCAGTGGATACAAAGTTTCAGTTTTATGATGAAAACATACTAGGTATCTGTTACATAACAGTATGGGTATAGTTAACATTGTGGTATAGTACACTTAACAGTAGTTAAGATGGTAAATTTACTGTTACGTATTTTTAACCACAGTTTTTTAAGGAGTACTTTTTGGAACCAGATATCTAATATAATATTAATTGTATGTTTTCTCTGTAACAAACCAGTATATATTTTGTGGTATTTTCATACCATGGACCAGAAACTCCTGGGTTCACTCAAAGTTAGGTATCACAGAATATCACCTTAACTTTCTCAGATAACTCTGGTAATATTTTATGCATTTGGAATAATAGTTAAACAGATGCTACTAAATTGGCCAGAGATGATAATATGTGTACTTTTCTAAAACATAAGCAGTTTATTACTGGATTTTTCCTACCTTCTCGTTAACCAGGACCACTAAATTGATACCATGAGAACTAGATAAATCCAAATCTCTTATTTAGATGATTTATGTTTTGAATTATGCTGGATTACTTGCCTCAGTTGGTTTTAAATGCAAAAGCACAAATATATAAATTAAAAAACAAAAATTTGCCCTCCACATAATAAAACATTTTTAAAGAAATGTTATTAACTTTAAGAAATGTGCTTGGTTAATGTTGATAATTGTTAGAAAACAAAGAAATATCTTAATCATTATACAAATCCTCTAACCTAGATTTGATGCCATACTTCATTGCTAAGTTATGCTATAGCTTAGATGAATGGAATCCTCCTGCTTACATTTGTTCTCAAGTGTAGAAGAAACCCTTGAGAAGCTACATAGTAATGTTATCAGTAATCACTTTTCAAGAGATTTTTCCTAGAAGAGTTTTGAATGAAATATATATATATGTTATATATATAAAAAACATATATGTACTAGCACTTATTTCACACTTGAAATGTATTTCTTGTAGAGGATTGGCAGAGTTTAATGTATTATGGTTCTTGAGAGTTATTTTTAAACATTAAATATAAATTCTGTCTCAAAAAATATATAAATTCTGCTTTGCTAGATGGTTGTTTTAAAGCTTGATGGTACTCTCACTGGTTTTACTCAATTGTTTGGTCTCTACTTCCATTCAAAATTTTAATTTATTATTGATAAGAACTGGAGAAAGTTTGTTGCCTGATACAGCTTATCATTCATTCTTTATCTGTGTGTCTCTTAATGGAAGTCACAACACTGTTATGTGGTCTGCAAGGTAAGTTAATTCCTTGATAAGCAGATGACCATTATAGACTTTAAATTAGCCCTTGGCCCCAATTGCAACCTTGCTTCTCAAACCCATTATAGAGTCTAACTTTGAAGCACATTATGGGCTTGTGGAACTTCAAATGACTAAGGTCCTTTAGTATTTTTTTACTTTTTTTATTTGAGTTTTTGCACTTCAGCATTTGTTGAGTGTTTGATTTATTCTTAAACTTACAAGTTTAATTTTGTAATTAGTAGAATCAGTGTGCAATTTCATACCAGTGTGTTTTATTATTACTATTATTTAAAATTTTTCTAATTTTTCCTTCAGTCATTCAATTGCATTAAACAAATGTTTATCAAATACTTACGATACATGTTCTCCCTTCTCCACGTTAGATGTGGATTCTTGTTTAGAAACAGTTGCTCTTATTTTTATGGGATTATTTAAGCAAAATTGTATAGATATGTTTTCTATCTTTTGGAATGCTCATTGCTTTTAGTTCGTAGTGAATGTTATTTAGCAGTCTATTAATATTTTTAAAACGATATAGCATAATGGGAGAGGTGGTGTGAAAGAATGAAAGATAAAGAAAAAGGACAAGATTTGAAATTTAAAATGAAAGCCACAGCAAGGTATCTTGGCTCAAGTCTAGGCTCCTTTTCAATGTTACCCATTGATTATTGGACTTTGATTCTATGCCAGGTCCTTGGGTAACAAAATAATAAGATCATATCCTTATCTACAAGGTACTCTCTTGGTAGCTGCATGGGTAGCAAAAATTAAGAAGCCTGAAAACACCAAATATTATAGTGGACGTGGATCATTGGGATCTTTTTTTATCTTCTGGGAGGATGTAAATTGGTGCAGCCTGTCTTAAAACTAGTTTTAATTTTCTTGGGAAATCACATATCCTGTTATTCAACAATTCCCCTTCCTCATGCTCTTTTGGAATGTGTTTTTACTTAAATCATGTGACTCATTTTACTGTGCTAATTTGCCAAACTCTCTTTCTAATTAATTATAATAATTCTTTATTTTTATAACTTACATCGTGTGAAAAATAAGTTCTGAAGGAACTTATCACAAGTTGACTTTTTATCACACGTCAACACCTATTTAAACATTATGTCATTTTTTTCCTTACGGTTTCTTGGTGAACTCAAATTGTTTTTTCACTGAAAGAGAGAAACACCATTCATTTTCCTTTGCTACTCTTTCCCTACATCTAGCATCACTGGAACTCTGTCTTCCTGAAACTTTACGTATGACTTTCCATAATTTTCATTCAACTGGCAGTGCATTCTTTGCAGCCTAGAGGGTTCTGTATGCTGAACATTCTTAACCACCCTTCTAAGAAACCACAGAGCAGATTCCCATTATGCTGTTTTATATATTCCCAGCAGTTGTTTGTACTGTTCTCTCATAAAATTATTGTACAAGGTCCTCAATTCTGGTTATCTTGCAAATTTATTTTTGTACTGTCCTCCTAACCACTATAGTCTCATCACTAGGAAATCTCACAGGATGTTGGAGGCAAATGTACTGATTTTCAATTTGTTCACCCCTCATTACCTCTGCTGCCCCCATTCCTTGTTTATCTGATGCTTTTCTTTACTTTTCTCTTTCTGGTCAAGGATGTCTTTTTGAGAGTGAATTTCTAGAAAAATGGGGTATAGTATTATCTTGCCTGTATTACACTTCGCCTACTGAGACATTAAGCCCTTAATGAAGGCTTTTGATAATAAGGGGTCATCTAATCAACTGTTCTGCCTGTGAGTCTGAATGAACAAAAACATATTCAAACAAATAGATTTCCAGCTGCACTCAGATTCTGAACTATTGTCCCCAAAATACAGACCCTGAAAATGATACAATGAATGCCTTCAGCATGTTTTTTATTTTCCAGCTTTCTCTGAAAATCTTTAAGGGAAATGAATGGATTTATTCCAATAAATAAAATTTATTTTATGGGCCTTTAATTGGTGGAAGAGAAGGAAGATATGTTAATGTTGAAGTTTGAATGGCATTATTTCCCTCCTTTTGTGTAGATCTGACGTGCATTGAGGTTTCTTTCTAAGAATTATTATTTTTGAGTAATTACAT